ATACTAAGCATTTAGCAAAAATCTTCATTACAATGAAATATTTAAAATCATAAATGGCCACACAAGAGTCTACTGAGTGAGTATGTTATTTTTATGTAACTGTTCCTTTATTGAACCCACAGGTAATAGTTAGGAGTCAGGTAATCAAGTTAATTCTCAACTCTTTTTCTCTACACAGCACTGTATTACCTTCCATGCGTGTATGTTTGTTAGTTGCTCAATCATATCTGACCCTTTGTGACCCCCATGGACTGTAGTCTGCTAAACTCCTCTGTCCATGGAATTCTCTAGGCAAGAAAATGGAGTGGGTTGCCATTCCCTTCTCCAGGGGATCTTCCCGACCCAGGGATTGAACCTGGGTCTCCCGCATTGCCCGCAGATTCTGAGCCACCAAAAAAGCAAACTGTGAATGCCGAAGACCCGGGAGCCCACGTGTTGTTGATAATGATGACCACAACCCTGATGAAATAAGGGGTGCCCTGAGCCACTAGACCCTCTGGTGACCAGGAGACTGTCTCAGCCTGGAGGCATCTTGGAGCTTAGTGGAGAGCAAGCTCACAAACTCCCTGTGACAGCGGGATGGGAAGGGGTGGACTGTGCACATGCCCCACAGATGTCACACAAAACAGGAGACCCAGGACCAAGTGGCCTGGAGGAGGGGTGAGCAAGGGGGTCCTGGAGCAGGTACAGTGGTGATGTCACTATAGATTTGTGTCCTATTGGAGCTCCTCTGAAAGCTCAACCTGAGACAGGGACGTGGGTGCAGGTGTTTTATTTGGGAGGGGAGCTGGGAGGCAAGGGAGAGAGAGGGGGGGTTGTGTGTCCTGGGAGGAAGGAAGCCAATAAAAGGTGTGTTAATGAATTATGGACACCTGGTCCTTGGGGCCTCTGGGACCCTCAGAGGAGCCACTAGAATGTCCTTCAGAACTGTCTGTCCAGAGCATGGGCTCGTGAGCATTGATCCATGATGGTTGATGGTTGCCTCGGGGTGTAATTCCTCTGTGATTCCAGGCTGCCTTGAGTGTGGGGACACAGGAGAGTGAGCTTCTGTAGTTCTGCAGAAAGCCCCGAGACAGAACATGGAGGGACGTGGGAGCCTGGGAGGAACGGTGTCGGGTGCGTGGGCTCCAGACACGCAGCTGCCTCCGAAGCTGGGGGTCCAGGGAAGCTAGGGCTTACGAGGGATTTGCTTCAGAAACAGGGATGACGCGGTGCTTCAGTGCCTTCATCTCGCAATCCCAAGCCTTCCCCTGAAGTCAGGAAATCCTTCCCTATGTCCGCCGTGAATCTCTTGCTGTAGTTTCTTCCCATTTCCCTTTGTTTTAGCCTAAAAGGAGACGCAGAGCAGCTGGCTGTTGTCAGATGGAAATGCTAGAAAAGATACAGATTCTTGGCAGCTGACCCCTCCAGGTTCACTTCAGGCTAGACTCGTGCCCCCAGAGAACCCCTCTCTCCTTTCTTGATGTTATATTTTTCTTAACCCACCTACACCAGATGTGAACACTGAGTGCGGACTGATGATCTGCTCCATCCGGTTGTCCTGATGATAAAGTCTCCCTTTTAATGACAGCTATAGGTGACGTCAGTCATTTACTGTGAACCAGGCCCTTGTGACTCAGCTGGTAAAGAATCTGCCTGCAATGTGGGAGGCCTGGGTTCGATCCCTGGGTTGGGAAGATCCCCTGGAGAAGGGAAAGGCTACCCACTCCAGTATTCTGGCCTGGAGAATTCCATGGACTGTATAGTCCATGGGGTCTCAAAGAGTCGGACACAACTGAGTGACTTTCACACACACACACACACACACACACACACAAACACACAGGCCCTGTGTTGGGTGCTTGACTCATTTTAACTCTGAACCGCTCTTGTGCTAGGTTCTTTTAATACCCATGGTACAGATAAGGAGACTGAGGCTCAGAGAGGATGTTTCAAACATGAGATGAAACAGGGCTTCAGGCCATTACCAAGTCATCTGCTCCCCTCCCTTCAGGCAGGTGCATGTTCACCTCTTTGTAACACGCTGTGTGCTCAGATGCTCAAGGGGGTGCCTTGGAGTTTCACTAGATATTGTTCTTTGGGGGCCCTTTGCATACCTTCCTGGTCTTGAATAGGAAACAGCTCTTAACACTTGGGAAGATGATCATCAAAGTAACAGTAATAGTTCCTGTATGGTGAGTAACACACGCCTGTTAACCACTGCACTGGTCCAGTCCCCAGTGGACAGATGAGGAGACTGAGGCTCTGGGAACTGGGGAGTTACTCAAGCCACGTGGGGGTAAGAATGGGAGCCAGGTTTCAGGCTGAGCCTGTTTGATTGCAAAGCCCGTGAGATTCCGCTCTAGCATTTACAGGGTGCCTTCTGTGGGGCGGCCATGAAGTCCACAGATGAAGGTAAGGCTGCATAATGATTGATTTATTGATATTACAGCATGGCCAAATAATCTCCTGGTGCCAGTCCTTATGGGCTCCTCGTAAGTGCCTGGTGGGGGAGGGATTGAAAATGACTAAGGGTGCTGGGCAACTCTGACATAAGTGCTGGGTGGTGGAAACGATGTTGAGGGGCCGAGGAAGCCTGCACTGAAGAGCCAGTTGGCTCCAGGCTGGGAGAGAGGGTGGGGGTGGGTGGAGGGTGATGCAAACGTGTTTCCTTTACAACAAGAAATGAGCCAGTTAGCGAACACTTGGCTCAGAGGACCTGAGATGATCTGGCTCCTCCGGCACTTGCAGGATGGGGCACCTGGCTCTAAGACCCGACAGCTTCTCAGGGCCACACCCCCCCGACTCCCGGCTCTCAGGGCGCATGCGCACCACGCTGCCGGCGCCCCACCTCCCGGATCAGCTGAGGATGCGAGGGGATTCCTGGTGACCTTCCCTCCATGGCTTCCCTGCCCTGCCCCACGGCTGCAGCCTCCTCCTGCTCCTTCCTCCTTCAATCTGCCTAAGAGAACCCTTGAGGCTCCCCTCTCTTCTGCCAACCCCCAACCGCCCCCTCTCCTCTGGAGCCCCCCAGGCCCTGAGCCGTGGCTCCGTGGAGAAGCAGGTCCGTGGGCGGGGCGAGCGGGATAATTATAATCTTGGAAGATTTAAATCTCAGGCGGAGAAGCAGGGAGGCAGTTCTTCCTGCCCGGTTTGGGAGCTGGGTTTGAGTCAGAAACCGTCTCCCACAGCCCAGCCCGCTTAGAGGATGATCCCACCTTGCCGTCCACCTTGGAGCCGACCTTGAGTCAGTCCATTCTTCTATGTGTGCATTCATTCGTTTAGGAAACGCTGGTTCTGTGCTCGTGTACGCCTTGCCCCTAATGGAGCCTGGGCACCCAGATTGGAAGGGGTCGGGGGCATGTGGCCTGGTATTACCAGTGCGCTGCCTCTCAGACGCCACAGTTTCCAGTGTTGCCTTTTCCATTTAGTAGCAGATTTTTTTTTTTTTTGATTGTTGAAGCCCTCCCCTGCCTTACTCTCCACATCTGAGAAATGAGTTAGAAATATCTCCTCTGTAAGGATTAAAGCACAGAGTACCACTGAGCTTTTAACATGCCTGAAGCATGTTAAAAGCATGAAAGTGAAAGTCCGCTCTGTCCTGTCCAACTCTTTGTGACCCCATGGACTATACAGTCCATGGAATTCTCCAGGCCAGGATACTGGAGTGGGTAGCCTTTCCTTTCTCCAGGGGATTTTCCCAACCCAGGGATCAAACCCAGGTCTCCCACATTTCAGGCAGAGTCTTTACCAGCTGAGCCACCAGGAAGGCCCAAGAATACTGGAGTGGGTAGCCTATCCCTTCTCCAGCGGAGCTTCCCGACCCAGGAATCAACCCAGGGTCTCCTATACTGCAGGCAGATTCTTTACCATCTGAGCTAACAGGGAAGCCCTAAAAGCATATAGAATGTCATTAATAGTTGTTGTTGCTGATATTATTTTTTAATTTTTTATTAAAGAGCTGAATAACGAGTAGTTCCTATCCTGGAGAAACTCATAGTCTAGAGTAGAGATGGCAAAGAGGCTTTATCTCATCTCACATGTCAATTCTGATGGATTGATAGAGGGTGCTTGGAATACTGTATTAAGAAAGATTTTGAGGATCGGTTGGGACCCATCAGAAGAAAAGAGCATGATTAATTACCAACATCTGCAGCTGGTTTAAAGTGATGGAGAGATGGCCTGTGTGTCTTGGGTCAGCTATCTTTGTTACTGAGTTAGTCCTGGAGAGAAGAAGGGATGGGAATGATAAGGGTAGTAAGAAATTTAGAGGGGTGTACAGTGAGACCTTTCCAGGCATTTGTAACAAATTTTGGAGGGGTCAGGGCTGCCTGAGAGCTGTTCCTGGATAGATATTCCTGATCATCCATAAGAGACGTGGATTCTTCCCGCTGCCGTGTGTCAAGAGCTTTTTGTCACAATATCCAGGTGTGAGTTCTGGTTCTGGTACTCAGAGGCTATGTGGCTTTTAGGCAAGGATGGGTTCTATTCTCAGTCTCAGCTTCCCCATCTGAAAATGGGGAAAATGACCCACCTCTCACCACCCTCCCTGGATTTTGTTGTTGTAGTTCAGATACTAAGTCATGTCTGACTCTTTGCAACCCCGTGGACTGCAGCATACCATGCTTCCCTGTCCTCCACTATCTCCTGGAGTTTGCTAAAATTCATATCCATTGAGTCGGATTTGGGTGAGGATTAAGTGAGATAATACGTGTTAAGGATTTAGAGCAGTGCTTGACACATAGTAGACACTCAAAACCCTGGTGCTTTAGCCATCAATATTTTGTCTGCCTTAAAGAACTGGGTGGTAGGGAGGAGCTTTCTTTCCTTTATAATCCATTATCAGTCAAATAGTTCTACTTTAAGTGCTGGAAACAAGGATTAGTTGAAACAGTCAAATTGTTTAAAAATAGAAGATTACTAGGAAGAAGTTGAACACTTCAAACAATGGGTGCGTTGTTCAAATAAATTATGGTAGGTTATACAGCATTATATAAAATATGATTCCGGACTTGGGAGTGGAGCCTGAGAACCGGCAGCGGCTGTGGGGCTGATGGAAGTGGAGAGGGGGCTTGAGAGGGCACCGAACTGTATCCAGCATGCTCCACGGCCACAGCCCGGTGTCCCAGGCCCTGCTGGGGACCTTCTTCACCTCGGGGTTGACGGCGGCCGGGGCGGCCCTCGTGTTCGTCTTCTCTAGCGGACAGAGGCGGATCTTAGATGGAAGCCTTGGCTTTGCTGCAGGGGTCATGCTGGCGGCTTCCTACTGGTCCCTCCTGGCCCCAGCGGTGGAGATGGCCACGGCCTCCGGCGGCTTTGGTTCCTTGGCCTTTCTCCCCATGGCTGTCGGCTTCGCCCTCGGAGCGGCGTTCGTCTACCTGGCCGACCTCCTGATGCCTCACTGGGGTGCAGCGGAAGACCCGCAGACGGCCCTGGCACTGAACTTGAACCCTGCGCTGATGAAGTCCGACACGGAGGGTGCCAGGATGCTCTTCCCCGAGAGCGAACTTTCCATTGGGATAGGTAGAGCTGGGCTTCTTTCAGACAAGAGTGAGCACGGAGAGGCGTATCAGAGGAAGAGGGCGGTGGCCGCCGACGTCGCGGAGGGCCCGGCAGCCCCCGGGCCGCCAGGGGGCAGCGCGGCGCAGCCCGGAGCCTCTTTTCTTCATATCCAAACGTTTTCCTTCTTCTCCTTTTTCATCTCATTACCTTGATTGACTCTGATTAAAATATGACACTTTTTAGATTTCTTTTGAGGGAGATAGTGGTTTTATTTGGAATTTCAAGCAGGCCCAGAACTACAGATTTTTGCTTGGCCACTACGTAGAATCTTTTTTCAATGGGATAACCAAGGACACGCAGATTAGGGAAATCTTTTGTACCTTCAGTCGCCCTCACTAGACTCAACATGAGTTCCTCAAGGTCACCTCTAGAAGCAAGAGAGAAGTCTCCTAAGCATCTTTGCCTAGTGACTCAGAAAGGCCAGGACAGCTCTTATCCATCCTTCCTGCTCTTTTACCACTGACCCTCTGTCCATCAAGACTGAAACAGGAGCATCATGGACAAATCAACCCAGGGCAGAACATACCTTCCTCTTTCTCCCCCACGGGGGATGCTGCACGGAAGGAGGCGCAGACAAAGGGAAGAAAATCAGCTGGTCTTTTCTTTTTCTCTTTTTCTGATGGCAAAGATTGGCACTGTCGAAGTTAAGGGAATCAGGACAACTGTGGATGCACAGTGAGCCATGTGAACCAAGGACAGAGTGGCACTCTGATCCAAGAGCTCAGCTCTCTCTAGATTCCAAGAGCAACTCATTCTGCCAGGGTCTCCAAGTCCCCCAGATGTGTGTTTTGATAAGCTTATAGCCTTCATTTTTCTAAGAGCCTTGGGGACACCAGCAAACTGCTGGAACTCAACCCCTTCATTTACTTTCTGAGGGAGTCACTGAAGCTCATCTAAGTGAATACAAGACTGGGTCCTCCTCCTTTGACTATTTGGTAACTTGTAACCTGACCAAGACCTCCTAAGCAGTTTTACTGGATTTCGGTCAGAAAACTCAGGATGAGACAGGAAGAAGGGTAGAATAACAAGAGGTATTTTTTACATTTCCCCTTTAAAGTAAATTTTAACCAAGTCATTGTTCTAAAATGACCCCTAAAGAATGAGATTTGAATGAGACTCGAAGCCGGTCTACTCCCTGATATATACACACAACTTCTCCTGCAGGGGTGGCTTATCTTGTCTGCTTCAAACATAGCTGAGGCCTGCCGTCCTCGCTGGTCCAAGGCACACAGGGGACCTTGAGTGGGTTCTGCTGACAAGGCAGGCAACCCAAGAGCCAGGTGTTAAGGCATTGTGTGGTCAAGGCCCACCCCAGGTTGACATATCTCATCACTTCCAAGGGTGGATACACTGTTCTGGGAATGCCCTGTGCTGGATCTATGTACCTTCTTCCAGAGCACTGATGATCAACATTGAAGACACATTCAGAAGTTTGATTGGTGGAGATTCATTGGTTTGGTGGTTGGCATATAGATGTTTTTAAAAGTCTTTGTAACAGAGTTCTACATGATGCAGACTTCTTTCTGATGGACAAGACCTCATAACTGTGATTAATACCAATAAAGGGGATATTGTTGTGGATGAAAAAAAATAAATAAAATATGATTCCATTTTAATGAAAAAGTATTAATTCATTTCTGACCAGAAAAAGATTTGGAAATTTGAACAGCATAGTTATTAGTGAGTATCCCTGAGTAGATGGACTGTAGGTGTTGATGAAAAAATGAATTGATAGTTGTGCTAAAGAAGAAATAGAGAATTTTATCCATGCCAACCTGAGTACTATAACCTGGGAGAGTGTCTTTCAGAAAATTCTGAACGGTTTCACTTGTTAGAAGCCATTATGTAAGTTTACACAGTTTTATACATTTTCAAGACAAAGGACATCAAAATGGTACCCTGAAATTTTACATAAATTTCACCAAAGGTACATGGTCCAAATAAGCATGTTTAAAAGGAGCAGCTGGTCACCATGACCCCTTACAGGATTGGTAAAGGAATGTTACCCTCTAAGAAGTTACGTTGCTGGCATGTGAAGAAAGGTAACGTTGATCTTTACGGTTGAGCAGGCATTCCTACCTTGAGAAGGTCTGGTTAATATGTAATTCAGATGCACAATGCACGTTGTGGGGCCCAATAGGGGCAGGGAGCATGCTATGCTTAAATTTTCTCATCTTGCCTCAAAACATAGATTTTATTCTATCGTAGGTGTACCTATTAGAGTTCTTAATGGAGCCATCCTGGGCTAAATGAGCAGGAAAGGAGCTTGTTACAAGAATGTTAGGAGCCCTAGTCCTCAGGTGAATGCCTTGACTTTCAGGAGCTTGTCTGGAGCTTGAACTTGTCTGGTTGGCTTGCCCAGGGCACTGGGCAAGCTCCTGTATACCAGGAACTTGACCCTGCAACCACTATGATTCCTGAGTGTAATTAAAACAACTCTGAACCCTGGAGTTGGCCAAAAATAGTCATCTTTGAGATAAATGGTTATTAGCCCAGAAGAATGTACAAAATCCTTACTGTCAACTCTCGAGTCTTAATCTTCCAATGTATGGAGTCCACAGGTAGGCAGTTCCTCAGTCTAGTTCACTTGGGCCCTGCTCCCTGGTGGAGAGATACTTCCAGCTGAATTTCTATGACTTCCCAATCTCTTTGTAATCATGAAGGAACAAAGTCCTGCAGCCCTCGATCACCTCTTTAGACCTTTTCCCTCTTCTCTTTGGAATAGGACATTTGTCTTTCACACCCAATGAATATCAAGACCATCAGACCCTTCTCCTATGATGTAGCAGTTTTCAGCAGGAGAGGATTCTGGGGAGAGGGTTTATGGGAGAGATGGCCATTGCAGGTCATGGAGGATCCATCCTCGTGGAGGAGGAGGCTTCTGAAATGAACCTCAGAGGACAGCTATGATTTTCCAGACAGAGATGGGGGGGGAGAGAGGGCAGTACAGGCCCGAAAAGGGAAAGCATGTGATTTGGGGAAAAGAGATTTTGTTGAAAACAGCTTGGTCAGCACAATTGTTGGTCTTGTTTTCTGTTCTATCAGTAATGCCCAAGCATGTTGCTTGACACTCAGTGGGCATTTAACTGAGCATTAGATAAAGTAATGAATGAAGGAAGGAAATCGATGACTATCTAGTCACAGGGATGAATGACAAGAAGATATAAAGCTCAGCTGGGTCATCATGATTTAAATTCCTGAGGTGGACTGCCATTGACTTTGGGCATCAACATGGATGCAGTTTGCCAGCTGAGTCCTAAGTGACGCCAGCTCCTAGCAGTGGAAAGAGGAGGAGGAAGGAGAGAGCCCTTCTCTTGCCATACGCAGGCCAGAGCGAGAAGTCTCCCAACCAGCTAGTCCTTCTCTCTCTCTAATACTTGCTTTTATTTATTTATTTGACTGCATTGGGCCTTAGATACAGTGCATGGGATCTTCAATTTGTGTTGTGGCATGTGGGATCTTCAGTTGTGGCATGTGGGATCTAGTTCCCCAACCTGCGATTGAAGCCAGGCCCCCTGCATTGGGAGCAGGGTGGAGTGTTAGCCACTGAACCACCAAGGAATCCCCTAGTCCTTGTCTCTTTAGCAGCCTGCAGGAGGCCAGGTCCTAATGCATAAGCCCTTAGGCAACTGACTCTTGTCTCCCTCTCCAGGTTTACCTTCCTTTGTTCTTTACCTTGAACCTTTCTGAGAAAGAGAAAAGCAGCCCCTTATAGCCAAGAGCTGACCTGGTATTATTGTCCTGTGGAGCAGAAATGATTTCACAGACCACCAACATCGGACAATGCCACCCTTGGCCGTGATGGTTCTAGACCACTCTGCAGTTAAGTCTTAACCACAAAAGTGACCAAACAGCCCCCATCCTGGCTAATATGAGTGACTGCTGTTTCTTCATCAGTTACAGTTGTAGCTTTCCTTCCCAGCTTTCTGGATAACATTAAGATACCCAATTATATATACAGTATTCCCCTACATACAAATGAGTTCCATTTCAAGAGCATGTTCATAAGTCCAGTTTGTAAGTCCAACAAAGTTAGCCTTTGACTGTGTGGATCACAACAAACTGTGGAAAATTCTTAAAGACATGGGAATACCAGACCACCTGACCTGACTCCTGAGAAATCTGTATGCCGATCAAGAAGCAACAGTTAGAACTGGATATGGAACAACAGACTGGTTCCAAATCGGAANAAAGACCCTGATGCTGGGAAAGATTGAGGGTGGGAGGAGAAGGGGACGACAAAGGATGAGAGGGTTGGATGGCATCACCGACTTGATGGACATGAGTTTGAGTAAACTCCGGGAGTCGGTGATTGACAGGGAGGCCTGGTGTGCTGCAGTCCATGGGGTCACAAAGAGTTGGACACGACTGAGCGACTGAACTGAACTGAGCTAAACTGAACTGAGGTACCCAACTAACACAATCATCTATATAGTACTGAACTGTAATAGGCTTAGGATACTTTTCACACAAATAATACATAAAAGCAAACAGAAAAAATAAAACATTTAAAAATCTTACAGTATAGTGCCTTGAAAGTACAGTAGTCCAGGACGACAGCTGGCACACAGGGGCTGGCATCGAGTGAGGAGGCAGGGAGATTTGCTGCCCGGGGGAGGGAGAGGAGCTGGGAGACGGTCGAGCTGGAGGACCACCAGCGATAGGAGATGGGGGGCGGGCTGCCGTTTCACTCATGCCTGACGTTGATGGCATGGATTCTGGTTCCTTGCTGGATTCAGTTCTACCTACCCTCTTGGAAAAATGATCCAGTGATGTCTAGGCAGTGGCTCTTTTTCTCGCATCATAGATGACATGGTAGCACCAGATTGCATTCTAAATGACTGCTGCAAACTTCATGTACCACTGTACGTTCAGGTCCTGTGCCTCAAAAATGAACAGTGCTTAAAAAAAAAAAAAATCAACAGTGCTTCCTCGAATAAAGAAAATCCCCTCACTGTTTCCTGCATCGTGAGTCTCCTCGGTTCTTGTTTTTCCCCTTGTCTCCCTCCATCCTTTCTCTGGGTCTCCAATTCCATCAGGTCTTCAGCACATGTGTCGTCTACATTGGCAGTGGGATTCTTCACCACTAGCACCACCTGGGAAAGCGTTGGTGACTTGCTTCTAAACAGTAGAACATGGCATAGCACATTCT